GAAAAAAAATTAACTTAAATGATTTTAGCAAATGGCTGCAATATAACAGAGTGAAAAATTTAAGGGGGTCTGAATACTTTCCGTACCTACTGTATATATATATATATATATAAATAAACACAGTACACACATATATATTATGTAAAGACAAACTTTTATTTTGGATGTGATTAATAGTTTATTTATAATATGTATACTATTTTATTTATATTATTTATTGTTTTAAATTAAAACATTTGAAACATAGTATAAATAAATAAATTTATATTTTTACAAGTAGACCATAGCAAGTTTATTAAAACTTTTGAAATCATTATATATATATTTTTATTATTATAAGTATTTTTATTTATTTTTAAATTTGTATTATATTTATTTGAAGCAACAAAAAAAAAATATGGCAAAAAAACAATGAGGATTTCAATTAGGGTGACTGCACTAAATTTATACACAAATAATAAAATAACCTAATTTAATTAATTACACTAAATATTTAGTTGAGAAAGAAGCGAAGACACCAGGATTAGGATTGGCTGAAAGTTCTGGCACATCATTAATATTCATGAGCCATGCTGATAAGTTCTATATCATGCTCCTCCCACTTTATACTTTATCCAAATACTCACACAAACAGTATGATGCCGGTGTTGGCCATGGCGAAGGACAGACCCAGAATTCCACTGCCCATGATGGCATTACTGAGGTTAAAGACGGACATCCCAAACGATGTGTGACCCGGGTGCTGAGAGACAGAGAGAGAGAGATAGGGTTAATCAACACAAAGAGAGAGAGAGAGAGAGAGAGAGAGAGAGAGAATGAATAAGCTAATGAGTTTCAGTACAAAAATCTTACATATTCTTCTTCATCATATTTCTTCTTCTTCATGATGCCATTGGTGAGAAACTTCTGACTCTCTGCGTCGTCCTCATCCAGAAACTGGCTGTAAGCGACAGTACGAACACGTGAATTCAGACACCTTGTTAAGGCATTTCACAGGTTCTGTTTGTTTGCGGTTACATGATGAATCGATGCATGAATATGACAGCATATGTCCACATTTTCCATCAAACTATGCGTCACAATGTTCTGCATGTGGACATCAAACAGCGTCAGGGTGAAACACACACACAGCAGTGACTCTGACCTGGCCTTCTCTGAATCGATGGGTGTGAAGCGATCGTCCACGCTGCTTTCATCGTCCGCCTCCATGCTCACTTTCTTCAGCTCCAGACGGTCCATGTTTACAGCAGAGGATTTCGTCTTTGGGAAAAGAACTGGAAGAAGCACCAGAGAAATTTGGTTAGAGCTGGAATCGACATCAAGAAGACGCTCAAATATAAGATCAATACATCATTCCCAGTGTCTTCATGACTTATGACTTTTTTAAATCATAAAGAATGAGTTCATGTATCCAAATTCTGGCAGGTTAACTAGTCCTACGTTCGTGCCAAGTGACCCTGAACCGCTCCTGCTAAAGCAAGTCAACATATCAACATCAAATGTATTGACTGAGACTCTGATCATGTTGTGATAAATCAATCGATATAACCTCAACACAAAACAAATCCGGCCTGGCCTGCTGTTTTCCACCAATTTTTTAATTGTTTGAACGCTTGTATTTAAATGTATTACCATATTGGCTGATTCAACATTCAACAAGCGATGCAATTCTGGGTCCATCCTTGTCGTTGTCTAATGACAATAAAATCTGGGCAAAAACATCTGTCTGACAGACAAGTTATTGCTGCATTATTGACATTTTGCTGGTTCTTTGCCCACCAGTTTCAAGGACCACCAGCAACATGATTTTTCACCCATGGACAACACACACAGATCGACGTCACCCTCCATCTACAGTGGTCTGTTGAGGCACCACAGCACCTATGAGGGACCTTTAATTGACTGAGACTCTGATCATGTTGTGATAAATCAATCGATATAACCTCAACACAAAACAAATCCGGCCTGGCCTGCTGTTTTCCACCAATTTTTTAATTGTTTGAACGCTTGTATTTAAATGTATTACCATATTGGCTGATTCAACATTCAACAAGCGATGCAATTCTGGGTCCATCCTTGTCGTTGTCTAATGACAAAAACATCTGTCTGACAGACAAGTTATTGCTGCATTATTGACATTTTTCTGGTTCTTTGCCCACCAGTTTCAAGGACCACCAGCAACATGATTTTTCACCCATGGACAACACACACAGATCGACGTCACCCTCCATCTACAGTGGTCTGTTGAGGCACCACAGCACCTATGAGGGACCTTTAATGCAAAACATCTTCCAAATATGGCAAAATAGACCTTGCATTTGGCATGAGAGATGGACGAAACAAGATCAAGAAATGCTACAAGCCAGATTTGAGCTTGCATGAGCTCAATAACTGATAAGCCATGGCTCCAACATGCTGATGGTTCATAAAAGAACATCTAGTTCTTCTTTCTGTATCAGTTTCTATTTTCAGCCTCAGAAAGTCTCTAGTTCGACCCTACCCTAACTAGGGATGGGTATCGTTAAGGTTTTAACGGTATTACTACTCTTACCGATACGGCTTATCGATTTGTCGTACTTTAATGGTATTCTTATCGGTACTTTTTGTTTTATACATATATATATATGACAAATTAAGAGCTGAATTAACATTGCTTTATATTCTGAAATGTAAAATAAATATGTAATGAAATTAATATAAAACATCAATTTGTAAATGCACCAGTGTGCAGGCATTTTTAGTGTTTTATACATAAGATAAGATACAGTAAGAACATGAACAAAGAAACAAAGTAAAACAAACTGACAAATACAATAAAACAAATATACAAATGAAATGAAATAAACAGTGCTGTCATTTTTCCACGAAGTTCTACTAAGTTCTGTTCAGGTAAGTAATAGCCTACAAAAGAAATCTATTGTAAATGAACACTGCATAGTTTTCAGTGTATGTACTGATAGATTAATGCTTATTAAAGCTATAACGTTATTCAGAAGTGTGTGTATTTGATCGTTTGGACATGCACTTGAAGCTCAAAGTGTAATTTGTTTGTCTGTTTTAGAGCGTGTCGCGCGCACACATTTCAGCCTGAGGAACAGCGTCTCTTGTGCGGATTGTGCTTTCAACGTTTTATTATCAAACATGTCCCGCAATTTAGCAGCAGTAAAGACGACATTTTACAACAATCACCGACTGAGCTGATTCTGACGTTAAGTTTGGGTTTTAGGGAGGAACGAATGCGCACCGCTGTGAAGGGAAAGAAGTTGTGCAATGCGAAACGCAGCTAGTTTTTAATAGCTTTATTTCATGTCTTCTTTTGTATAATCCTTAGAAGCCAAAATCGAAATAAAAAAAATTAAATGAGCTTAATAAAACAGCCACAGGCCTAAAGTGTAAGCAGATGTTTGAATGTTTAGTTCTCTCTTCTATCATAATTAAACAGGGCTTTCATGTTGCGCGTGCTGAAGCTCCTCCGCGTGGGCGCGATCTTTCTTCTGAATTGCGAACAGCAAAAATGCATCATAGACAAATGTTTGAAAAACAGCTGGCGACTCTGGTGAGATAGAATTTGCAAGATAATGTATATATAGCAATAATAAATGTATGTGTGTTTTATTAATTTCTCCAGTACCGATAGCAGAACCGTTAATGTCAGAGCTTATCGATACTCCGGTCTTTCATAATTAAATTAATGAAATTAATTTTAGATTAAATACCGGGTTTCGGTACCCATCCCTAACCCTAACCTAGTCTGAGCTAACAAGTTAACTGCACATTAATAGAGAGAGAGAGAAACACTGATCTATTATCAGCCACAAGGTTAATAATTTTTTTATTATTTATTAATTTATTCAATATAATATGATATTATATATTGTATTATCTATATTATTTTATTTTCAATATTTTTTATTTTACTTAGTTTTAATATTTTATATAATTAAAAAAAATTTATATTAATTTATTAGTCCACTTTTTACTCATTTTATTTCAGTTTTCATTCCATGATTGTTATTTTTAGATTCAGTTCATTTAATTATTTTAATTTAGAAATTTTAAGTTTTCACATTTTTTATATACTGTATATTAACAACCTTTATTAGCTCAAATCAACAGTAGTTGTAGTAGTACAATAATAGTAGTACAAAAACTGAGCTAAACATTTTAAATCTTTTTTTTTTTTTGGTACTTGAAATAAAATAAACTTTAACTGAAATAAAATACAATGAAATTTTTTTTATGTATTTCTGTTAGTTGCCCAGGCAACATATCTCATTCTCAGGTGATAATAAAATGGTACTAAAATAAACAAATACTGAAACAAAAATGAAATTCATACATGTAAACATAAAAAGAAAAACAGAAAATATACTAATAAAAACTATAATATAGTATGTCAATGATACTAAAATAACATTGGTTTGAACCGAGAGTCTTTAGTTAGCAGCTCAGATCTTTAACCACTAACACAGTTTAGTAGACAGCGCCAGTGATATGTTATCATTACAATCACACACGTTACTATTGCTGGATTCAGCGTTTATTCCCTGCTGAGTGCTGCTGTAGGACTCAGTGTTTTGCTCCAGCTCCACATAAAGGCTGTGTTGTTCAGTGTTTAGGTTGAGGACTCATGTATCTGTGTCTGATCCGCTCCATGACGCACTAGCTCTGGAATCAGCCGCGTTTAGCAGCGCGCCGGCACACACCTGCTACGAGCGCACACCGCACACTGGCCTCAGGTCAGCTATTTCCAGCCCATGCAAGGCACAAACAGTCCTGAAAACCATTTCCTGAGCGTCCAGCAGGACGGAGAACATTACATAAGACTCCGATGAGCCAGTTAATAAGCCAAAACACCGCCAAACAATTCTTACACCCAATTACCCACAATGCTCCTCTTCACCGACACAAAGCCCTCATTGATAGGATTCATAAACACGGCCAGAGAAACCAGAGAAACTATAGACTCATGGAAATATTGCACAGGACTGAGAATGAACGCAGATGTGGTGCATTTACTGGATTCACACCAGAGAACAGTTTTACTGTGTGCATTCATGCTACGGCTGGACTGTTAGGCATTCAGATAGTTACTGCTTCTAGAGAACAACAGCAATTCGTTAAAACACACCAATGTTTCATTGAATAATAATACAAATCAGAATAAACACTTCTGCCAAGTAATTCATTAATCTGGCTGTTTATGATTGACAAGCAACTCAATGCATTAATATAGAATGATTTTACAGCAATGCATGAGTTGGAGTATGTTTCAAGTTTAATTCAACGTATTTGCCTTTTCTTTGAATTTACTAGCAATTGTTTTATTCCAATTTTTTCAGTGCACCGTTTATTTGTACCAAGTATTTCAATTACTGGATTATCAAAAACAGGCAATGCCACATAATTATTTACATTTTTTAAAATTTACAGCAAAAACAAAACTATTTGTTAATATATATGACATATTCCTCGACTGTAAGTACCTTTAGATCTGATCCTATATGAATAAATGTAAATAACGTTACCATGACTCATACACTCTCAGAAAAAAAGGTACAAAAGCTGTGACTGGGGCAAAACCTTTTAAAAAGGCAAATTTTTTACCTTTTTTTTTACTCCTAAAGGGTGCATATTAGTATCTTAAAGATACATGTTATCACCTAAAAAGTACATATTAGTACCTATATTGTACAAATTAGTATCCTTTAAAAGGGTACACTTCAGTAACAGCTTTTGTACCTTTTTTTCTGAGAGTGCAGCATAGCATGACAGAAAATTCTGGTTCATTAGTCTGAACTAAGCATTTAAACATGTGACTTCAGCTGAAAGACATCAAGTCTAAGAACAAACTCCAGCCTTGTAAACTTTCTTTGAATTTACTAGCAATTGTTTTATTCCAATTTTTTCAGTGCACCGTTTATTTGTACCAAGTATTTCAATTACTGGATTATCAAAAACAGGCAATGCCACATAATTGTTTACATTTTTTAAAATTTACAGCAAAAACAAAACTATTTGTTAATATATATTACATATTCCTCGACTGTAAGTACCTTTAGATCTGATCCTATATGAATAAATGTAAATAACGTTACCATGACTCATACACTCTCAGAAAAAAAGGTACAAAAGCTGTGACTGGGGCAAAACCTTTTAAAAAGGCAAATTTTTTACCTTTTTTTTACTCCTAAAGGGTGCATATTAGTATCTTAAAGATACATGTTATCACCTAAAAAGTACATATTAGTACCTATATTGTACAAATTAGTATCCTTTAAAAGGGTACACTTCAGTAACAGCTTTTGTACCTTTTTTTCTGAGAGTGCAGCATAGCATGACAGAAAATTCTGGTTCATTAGTCTGAACTAAGCATTTAAACATGTGACTTCAGCTGAAAGACATCAAGTCTAAGAACAAACTCCAGCCTTGTAAAACCAGCCTAACCAGCAAAGAGGAGACAATTCTGCTGCAAAAGACCCAAACAGACACTGTTAATGAAATATGACCACACCTTTAACTCCAGTACACACTGAGAAACGCCGAGATCTGTCAGTCTCAAATCACATATTTGCAGCAGCTCTCAACCCAACAAAACTCATTTGGATTTATTTCTGCCCAAAGCAGAAAATCAGTAGATGAAATGCCTCAATCGTTTGTCCATGACAGCAAAGACATCAAATGGAGAACCTCAGCATCTCAGACATTTCTCCTGTAATCTCATGCATCTCACGCATTTTGGAGAAACGACAAAATAGAACCATCAAAACCAAACTGTTAACATGCAGTTCGAGTGAAACCTGTGTGGACTGGCCTTAAACCGGTCTAAGTTAGTTGTGCTGTCATCATGAATGTCTCCAAGCAGCTGGAGCTGACCTGAGTGTTTTACGACGAGAAACACTCGCTCTTCAAAGGGAATGTCTGTGTTTGTGCTTGAACCAGCATTCTTCAGTCTGTCGGCTGGACGCAGACCACACACACAAACACACATGCACTAAAGCACCAACACTGAGCAACCAAACGCAAAACCCACAGATCTCCTTATTCAAGTCAAGCTTATAATGTATTAATGGTGGTTTGGTTACTCACAATGAAAGCCGGTAACACGCAGGACACTAGATGTGCTCACAGATCAAGGATGAGCTTCGTTTTTAGCCCTGGAGGTGAGTGGAAGCTTTAAAGAGCATTGGGAGGGCCCACGTCATCCAATCGGAACGCTCCTATTGTCAACCACTCAGAGCGAAGCTCCGCCCCACTCCCCCCACCTGCGTCACTGAAGGGCACATGGGCTTCCAGAAATGAGTTCGAGATAAGGCGACGTGTTGCATCAACTTCTGTTTGCACTGGGGCAAGAATCTGGGGTTGCTCGGCCTCATGGACGCAGATATTGAAGACTCACTCTGGGATGCCAACCAGCAGTCGCCAATCTGCATACGCTTCTGAGGTGTGTGCAAACACACATACGGACACACACTCTGGGGTTATTGATCAAAAACCCAGAGACGAACCGAAACTTCATTCAACTCAGATCAGAAATCCTACTGGCATATCAGCCATTGAAGTGCCAAAAATTTACCAACAAATGAAACTATTGGTGAATTTTGAAAGAAATTTAAATAAGTATTGGAAAATATGTATTCAGCTAATTTGTTTGTATCATGTAGTTATAAATCAACATTACATCCAATATCATCACTCAAGACATCTAGATAGCAATATCAGCTATTGAAAAATCCATCAACGCTGATTGAAATACTGACCCCCAATATACTAGTGGGATATATTCCCAATTATTGGAGAATTTTGCACATAATATTGCACAAAATACATATTCAGCTAATCTTTTTGTATTATGTAGTTATAGATCAGTATTATATCTAATACCAGCACTTCAGATCTCTAGATATCAGTATCGGCCATTGAAAAATCCATCAGCGCCAAATGAAATACTGACCACCAATTCCCAATTATTCGTAAATTTTGGTAAATAGTCAAGTAAATATTGTGTAAAATATGTGTTCAGATAATGTTTTTGTATGTTATATAAATAATGACCACCAATATACTAGTGGGCTACATTCCCAAATATCTGTGAATTTTTTTTGATAATATTATGGTTACAATTGTGTAAAATATGTGTTCAACATCAACATTATATCCAATAGCAGCACTCCAGATGTCTAAAAAAAAGTCCATTAATCCCAATTGAAATTCTGGCCACCAATGGTTCTGCATTCCCAATTATAGGTGAATTTCAGTAAATATTTAAGTAAATATTGTGTAAAATGTGCTCAGTTGATTTCTTGTATTATGAAGTTATCATTACATCAGATAGCAGTACTCCAAATCTCTAAATATCAATATTGGTCATTGAAAAATCCATCAGTGCCAACTGAAATACTGAGTTTTATAAAATTAGTACTGTAACTTGCCATTTAACAGCTGCTTTTATTCAAAGTGGAGAACTTATTACTGGCTAAACCACCCTGGAGCAACACTTGGTTGGGAAGATCTAACCAGCAACCTTTAACCAGCATGCCACATCATCCCAAACATATAATCCCAGTCAAAGCAATCCAGCCATTCAAGGTGATGCATTTAAAAAACTTGCTACACACAAAATAAGACAAATTATGGACATTGGGCTTTTCAACTCCTACATCATGACTGCGTCTGAATGTCGTCATGTGTTATAGACCGTAAAATGCTAGCCAGAGTAAAAAGCCAATCTTACTGTCTTGATGCAGGTGCTCCAATCTCAAGGAGAAAGAGCCTTCCTGTGCCGAGAGGCCTTTCCTTATACGGAGACACTCAACACTCTCAACACCACGAGCCAATCAGCAGCTCCGGCTCAAGGGTCAAACACACAACGCTCCACAGAAACACAACACCTCACACTCACAGAGTACTGTATAATAGATTAACTAACTAATTTGCTAAAAATACAGATAAACTTTACAGAAAAAAAATCTAGTTGCTTCAACCTCAAAATAAATCCAAATATCTCACCCTCAAACAAACCAACACTTCAGAGTCTGAAATAAGCACTCGACCAGTGCCCCAAAAATTAACCCATAATTATTTGTTATTTAGACACTATTTCTTATAAGAATGAGAGCCAACAACAACAAAAATGTACTCTAAACCAGTGTTGCCAACCCTTTTTCTACAGTACACTCTTCAAAATCTTCATAATGGACCCTTTGCTAGATTTTAGCATTCATTTTTAAAGTGTAGCCAAGCTTTTTATATTTCCATTTAAAATTAATGTAGATTTATATAACACTATACTTTGGACCTTGGCATTCAGTTTCAGAAAACTAGTTAAGTGAGTGTTTGTAATTTTGAAATGTGAAAATTTTCAAATTTTACATTTTTCTCTCTTCTGACTAATGCAATGTATTGTTGCACTATTGGTGTTTTTTTGTTTTTTCAAATTGCAAACTGGAACGTTTACCAAATAGGAAAGTTTTCAAAGTTTCCCAAACTGCTACCCACAGTTTATGATGACTTCTGCTTCTGACAACCCTGGAAATATGAAAAGCGTCCATCAAACACATCTGATTCAACTCATCAGCTCTTTAGGAAAGGCCCCAAGACCTGAAATAGACGGCTCAGATAGGAGAGACGTTCAAAATGTGTACTGCTGGTGTGCTTCCAGGAACCACGTTGGGAAACGGCCCAAACTCTCGTGATATTTTCGTGGCTTCTAGGACATAGTATCTTGGAGCAGCATGTACATGCAAAAGATCACCGTCTGCGCAGTCGTCGGTGTGGGAGTGGTTGTCATGGAAACAAGAGGAATGATGAGAGAGATGCCACACTGGGAAGAAACATTCCACACTCCTGCCCAAGAACAGCAATCCAAATACTGGACAAACTGTCCCAAGCAACACACAACAATTTACATTTGTGAGATTTAACCGTCAACCTACACGCTCTCAGTGCTATTATTTTTCTGAGCGCTGGTAGCAGGACTCAAGTTCTCCTTCAGCTCTAAGATTATCCAGCCCGACCCTTCGTACGGCTCTAGATTACATTACAGAAAATATATCAAGCAGCAGAAAGACAGACACCAGGAACCTCCATCATCTCACAACGCTGCTTTACCTTTGCTCCATTAAATCTGAAACCAGACTCTCATACTTGCATTGCATTTTCAACATATACTTGCTTAATAAATATTTAAAAAATATTGACTTTTTAAAAATTAAAAAGTAAATATAAAAAAATTAATTTGTATTTTTTCTGATTTCAGTAGGTGGCGCAGTTCTCAAACTGCCCTCACTGCATATTTAGTTTAGTTTCAAGGCAAATGTTGCAAAAACAAATTTGTTGATGCATTACATGTTAAAGGGGTCATATGATGCGATTTCAAGTTTTCCTTTCTCTTTGGAGTGTTACAAGCTGATTGTGCATAGATAAGATCCCTGAAGTTGCAAAGACTAAAGTCTCAAACCCAAAGAGATATTCTTCATCACAGTTAAGACTCTGCCACCCCCGACCGCCAGCAGAAATGATAGAAAGAAAATACGTTGCTACACACCTTTGGTGCTTGACCTCTACAAAAACTGCTTGACTGATTAAAAAATAAATTGCAAATACAAAAGCCTGACAAAGAGTTTCAGATGTTTATTTTCTGGTTGTCATGTCCTTGGTTTCATCTCTCTGTCCAACATCTTATCAGTCTATTGATTTGCTCATTGCTTGTGACATCAGTGACGTAGCAGAACACATAATGGACTGTCCTGAGCTACTCGCGTTGAAAATAATGAAAGATGAGGATGAATGATGACAGAGCCATATCTAGAGACATGAGGATAGACTTTTTTCAAGTGAGGCAGTCAAAAACCACCCAGAAAACTCTAGTGTTGTGCTAAAAACTACTAAGTAACCATATATCAATGTTTTGGCAACTGTCCAAAACACTGTAGCATTGCAGCACTGAGATTTTCCATGGTCAAAAAAAGTCTAGTTTCATAAAAAGACACCTACTGATAATTATGATCATAATTAGCATGAACATCATGTCCAATTTGAATCTGCTGACAAAGGCCAATTAAGCGATATTGGAAATTCTGGGCATCTCTGCTTTGGCTCGGTATGACAGGAACATTGTGGCTTCATCCGTGTTTGTTCTCCGAGGTTATTTCGGTCATCGAGTTCGTACCAAAATTACAGTTGGGTCCAAAAATCAGCTCTTTTTCTGAAGCGCTTTCATTATTGGAAAAAACACTGAACCCATGATATTGAACCATTCATTCTTTGAATTGCAATCAAAAATAACTACGCGGTGATATATACAGTTATTTTCAGAAAAATTACTGGAATAAAGATAGCTTTTTTATCATCTGAAATGTGATGCAACTTATATTCCAAAGCAACTTTTATAATGCAATTTACATCAAGCACGCAAAACGTTAAGATTCATGCAGAATGACAGTTTGTGAGCCCAAGTTTATTTCACACACGCCGCTAGCGTCAGTTTCACTTTAAATTTATTTAGGCTAAATTTCTAAATGTAATAACGCAGCTAATAGCGAATGTTCTCAGAATTTTCTGGCAAGGTTCTCTCAAAGTTATGAACAAATGTTCTTTCAGTAACATTCGCTCAAAAGTTATCCGGTCTTTAATAACGTTCTCGAAATGTTAGCATAAAAACATTATTTATACATCATTCATGGAACATTTTTTTCCTCAAACGTTTTAGTTGGACGTTCGTCTAACACTTTTTAAATGTTGCTACTTGTTTTAGAATGTTCAGAGAACGTTCAAAAGTAACGTTCCCATAATGTTTGCAAAATGTTCCCTTAATTTTTGTTTTGTTTTTAAACATTTAAAAATGCTAACTTAATGGGAATGTTAGGAAAATGTTGTTAGAACATATTTTGTTAAATGTGTAGACTTGAATATAAGGTAATTCATAATGCAATATAAGATCAAACAGCTCAGTTATGTACACTAGAACACACTGATCTGACTCAAATGATTGACGGCTATCATTCAACTGAAACCGGGCACGCAGGTTGGTTCAGAAACATGACATTGCACTGTTTAAATTGTGTAAGTGAGCAAGGGAATGTTTACTTTGACCAGTTTTACTATGCTGGGCCTCAAACAACCCGGAGTGAACGCACAAAAACTTCATGAATATGACAGACGGCTGAGGCGCCATGATGTGTCTGGA